TAATATCAACAGGCGGTATCTCTATGGATCCTGCAAAAGTACAGGCTGTGCTTCAATGGGAGAAACCCCGTTCAGTCACTAAGATCAAGAGTTTTGTGGGATTAGCGGGCTACTATAGGCGGTTCATTGAAGGATTCTCTAAGATAGTAGCACCATTAACTCAATTGACAAGAAAAGATCAACCTTTTGCCTGGACTGATTGGTGTGAAGCTAATTTTCAAGAGTTAAAGCAAAAGTTGACTAGTGCTCCAGTATCAGTTATTCCTGACACGAGTAGGCCCTTTGGAGTATTTTGTGATGCCTCTTATCAAGGTTTGGGTTGTGTACTGTTGCAAGAAGGGAAGGTGGTTGCGTATGCTTCAAGGCAACTTAAAACTCATGAGAAGAATTATCCAACTCATGATCTGGAGTTGGCAGCAGTAGTATTTGCCTTAAAGATATGGAGGCATTATCTTTATGGTGCATAGTTCGAAGTATTCAGTGATCATAAAAGTCTTAAGTACCTATTTGATCAGAAGGAACTGAATATGAGGCAGAGAAGGTGGATGGAATTTTTGAAAGATTATGAGTTTGAGTTGTTATACCACCCAGGAAAGGCTAATGTTGTAGCTGATGCATTGAGCAAAAAAGCTATTCATGTTTCTGCCATGATGGTGCGAGAGCTGAAGTTGGTTGAGAGTTTTAGAGACTTAAGACTGCATTGTGAGTTGGAACCGAGTGGTTTAAAGTGTTGCAGTCTTAAGTTGGCAAGTAGCTTGTTAGAACGAATCCAAGAAATGCAGTCGACTGATGCTGAACTACAAAAGAACATGGAGTTGATCGGTTCTGAGCAAGGAAAAGATTTCAAGATAAGGAAGGATGGACTCTTAAGGTTCAGAGATAGAGTTTGTGTACCTAATGATGGTGAGTTGAAGAGAATGATCCTTGAGGAAGGACATCAAAGTCGTTTTAGCATGCATCCAGGCATGACTAAAATGTATCAGGACCTCAAGGAGTCATTTTGGTGGCCAGGAATGAAGAGTGATGTGGCTCGATTTGTGATGTCATGTTTAACCTGTTAAAGAGCCAAAGTGGAACATCAAATACCGGGCGATTTACTATAGCAACTGGAAATTCCTAAGTGGAAGTGGGATAACATTGCTATGGATTTTGTTACCTACTTACCCCGAACGGTCAGAAATCATGATGCTATTTGGGTGATAGTGGATCGGTTAACTAAAAGTGCTCATTTCCTTGTTGTTAATTTGAAGATATCAATGACCAAGTTGGCTCAACTCTACATCGTGGTTCGGTTACATGGGGTGTCATCCAGTATTATCTCCGATAGGGATCCTCGGTTTACGTCTCGATTTTGGCAGTCTTTGCAAAGTGAGATGGGCAGTCGGTTGCAATTGAGTTTGGCCTATCACCCTCAAACGGATGGTCAGTCAGAGAGGACGATCCAAACACTTGAGGATTTTTTGAGAACGTTTGTCTTGGATCATTTGGGAGTTTGGGATGAAGTATTGCCTTTGATAGAATTCACCTACAATAATAGTTTTCAGACCAGCATTGGAATGGCACCGTTTGAAGCTTTGTATGGAAGAAAGTGTAGAACTCCTCTTTGTTGGTTTCAAGAAGGAGAATCAGTGTTGACCAGGTCAGAATTAGTACAACAGACGACTGAGAAAGTGAAATTAATTCAAGAAAGGTTAAGAGCGTTTCAGAGTAGGCTGAAGTCCTATGCCGATCGTAGAAGAAGACCTTTAGAGTTTGCTGTTGGAGATCACGTCTTCCTTAGATTAAATCCTACTACGGGCGTTGGAAGAGTCGTTCGGTCTAAGAAGCTATCTCCTAAATCTATTGGACCCTATCAAATTTTAAGGCGTATAGGACCAGTTGCTTATGAAATAGCCTTGCCTCCTCAACTAGCCAACCTTCACTCGGTTTTCCATGTATCACAACTCAGAAAGTATGTACCGGATCCTTCTCACGTATTGGAAGTGGATGATATTCAAGTACGAGAAGACCGTTTGGTTGAGATGCAGCCAGTCAATATTGCTGAGAGCCTAACCAAGAATCTTAGAGGAAAATCCATCAGTTTAGTTAAGGTGATTTGGGACAGGAGAACAGGTGACTTCACCTGGAAAGTGGAAGATGTCATGAAGGAATTGCACTCTCACTTGTTCTCTGGTAAGTTCAATTTTCGAGGACGAAAATTTTTGTTGTTAGGGAGAATGTCATGACCATTAAATTCAGCAGAGAGTGGAAGCCAGGCATAAGTGTAAGGATTTAGAAATTTAGAAAGTAGAAGACAGGTGTGTGTAGCTGAGTGGCCGATCGGTTTTTGACGGTAGTATATAAGTAAATTTTTCAAAACTTCAAGCCACTTTCTGCATCGACCTCTTCTCTCCAAACTTCCTAACCTCTTTTCTCCTCCTTCTCTCTACAATTCTCCTTCTTTTCTCTACAAATTATCACTTCTTCTTCTTCCGATCATCAATCAGGCAGCGCTGAGTCCTCTTGGTGCCAAGAGTTTCACTTTGCACCGATCTAGACTTCGTTTGAGCTGGTAAGTTCTTCTTCTTCTTCTTAGAAATTCTGTTTTCTGGCAAATGCAAGCCAAGTTTCTGGTTGCCTGTGTTTATCATCTTCTTATCTTAAAATTCTGATCACATTTCTGGTCTTGTGGTTGGTCTATTTTTCATCAATCGATGAACCTCAAGTTTCTAAGATTTTTGGTGGTGAGCGAGTTTCCGCACTGAGAGTTTTCTAATTAAGAGGTAAGGGAAGCTAGTAATTTAATTATGTTTTTTTGTATCAGGAATTTCTGTTTGAACATTTGCATGTATGAATAATTTTATGTTTGATTGAATTGTATTCAAATTCTGAGTTTGGCCGAGACTTGTGAACTGATTTGGAGTTTTCTGCAGTAGAGTGTTCGGTCTTTTCTGGTTTTGAGAAAGAAAGTATGTGAAAATGTGAGTTGGGGGTCAATGTGAAATAGGTTTAGTGGGATAGGTTTAAAATAACTTATGAATCAAGTTTGGAGGTTTAGAAGTTAAGAAAAATATCCTATTTTGATCTAGGGAGTTCGGTTATTAGGCTTAGCTTATCTTTTGTAAACCGATCGATTTATACAGGGTGTATTATAACCGTTCGGTATGTGATGATTTGTATAAACCTAGTAGTAGAACTGTTTGGTTTATTTCCTATGTTTTGTTTTAGACTTATGATACTCTGTAAAGTTTTTAGTTTTATAGTTATTTTTGGATAACTGTAGTGTTAAATACTTTACTAACTCTTGGAGAACTGATTTATCATATTGTTATATGTGATTAATCTATGATATAGTATTATGTTACATTTTGGGATGTTACACAATTTAGATAAACTAATATGATTGTTACTATATTATATTTTTGAATGTACCGAGAGATAAATTATACAAGTTTTGACTTTTATGAATTATCATAACATTACTAATTTTAAATAAAAAAATAATTTTTTTGATTCAATATTTAAGTTATAAATATTATTACAAATATTTATGCCAATTTTTTGTCAAAAATAAAAATTGATAAAAAAAAATATAAATCATTTATATTTTAGTATATTTTTTAAAAATATTTAATACGTTGATTTTTATTTATATAAATAAAATATCAAACAATATTAAATTAATATAAAACTTTATATGCGTAATAATAATAGAAAAAACTAATGTTAGTTTAATACAAAGTTTTCTTATTGCGATGAGTGGCCAACATTTAGTAGATGTGGTTATTTTAAGATGAGATTGCTTAAAAGAAATTACTTAAATATTTTTAACAATACATCATCACATTTTAGAATGGTCTTTTAGACAAGAAATACATAAAAAAGAGGGTGATTATATAGCATATATCAGTTGATAAACTTGTAAACAGTGTTAATACAAATATAACATAAATATTTGGAGTTAGAGATAAATAGAGAAAGCGTTAAATTATTGTAACAAATGTAATAATTTATTAGATAATAAATGTGTATAAATAATGGATAATAGTATTAACATAACTCATCATCTTTTAATCATGTTAAAGTTGATCTAACAGAAAGAATTATATTTAATGTTTTTAGAAAAATATAAGAACCACATTAAGTCAAAAGTTAATAAAGAAAGGGAATTGAATTATTGAAGCAAATATAAAAATAAAATAATTATTAAGCCTAAAATAAATAAATAAAATGCATACCTTATAATTTAATTTATAATATCGTAATGATTTATTCTACGGATTTGGATTAATTCAATCCAATGACCTTAGTATTTCATTAGTACTTTATCATGAACTTAGTTTTTAATAGTATTTAAAGTAATCTCTTCCTAAATTTATTCAATGATTTATAAATATAATTTGAATTCAAGGTGCCTTATAGTTATAAATTTGATAACTTCAAAATTTATTTGTTATATTAAAACATAAGACTAAAACGTAAATAATAAACAACTGTCTAATTTAATTAAATATTGACAGTTTCTTGTAAAATTCTCCAAACATAACTATCTAATTTATTAATAGAAGTAATTGACTGTTAAAAGAAACTGATTTCTCAAATATACTCAAACATAAGTTAACTTTTATCATTTAACTTCCAAAGTAGAAACCATATTTACTTCTATAAAGATCATTACATACACAGTACACATATAGAAGGAAAAAAATCAAATTATAGTGAAAAGTGAATACAATGGTGTTAGATTTGGTTGAATGCTTAATAAGACTATACCATATTAGAATGATTCCTAGGTTATATTGATTGCGAGGTAAAACAAAATGGTCGATTAATGGTGCACACATTTATACATACTCATTATCATTGTCTAGAAAGATGACATTTTGATACTCAATAAATTTTATAAAAGTTAATCTTTTTTAAAAGATCATATTATTTTAAAAAATGGGTTGTTAAGTAATCGGGGAAGAGTAAAAGAAAATCACTTCTTTATCGTGTGTGCATGTTGAAGAAAGTTGTCAATGGAAGTGAAAAGAATACAGAGTTTGGCTCTGAAGCAGCTGAAGGAGGTTCCACCAGAGTTCATTCGTTTACCGAATGAAAGGCCAGAGAACAGCAAAGCAATAGAAGGTGTGAGTGTGCCACTAATCTCACTATCTCAGCCACATAATCTTTTAGTGAAAGAAATAGTCGAAGCTGCATGTGAATGGGGATTCTTTCAAATAACTGACCACAACATATCAGAAACATTGATCAAAAGTTTGAAAGAGGTTGGCGAGGAGTTCTTCGGGCTCCCTCAAGAAGAGAAAGAGGCTTATGCAAATGATCCTTCCAATGGTAAGTTTGAAGGCTATGGCACAAAAATGAGCAAAAACCTTGAAGAAAAGGTGGAGTGGGTTGATTATTTTTTTCATCTGATGTATCCTCCTTCTAAGGTGAACTATCTGATGTGGCCTAAACAACCTTGTTCCTATAGGGAAGTGACAGAAAATTACAGGAAGGAGATGTTAAGGATAACAGAGAAGCTTTTGGAGGTTCTATCAGAAGGGTTAGGGTTGGAGAAGAAGGGTTTGAAGAGTGAGTTGGGAGGTGAATCGATAGAATTAGAAATGAAGATAAATATGTATCCAACATGTCCACAACCACATTTGGCTTTGGGCGTTGAGCCTCACACTGACATGAGTGCCCTTACGTTACTTCTTCCTAACGAAGTTCCAGGTCTGCAAGTTTGGAAGGATGATAACTGGGTTGCAGTCAATTACTTGCATGATGCACTCTTGGTTCTTGTTGGTGATCAATTAGAGGTAAACTATTTATTTATTGATTTTTTTTATCAAATATGATTTTAGTTTTTAAATTTTGATGTAAAATTAGATTTCTTTCTTTTTTGAAATTTTAATATATTTTAGTTTCTAAATTTTTAAAATAAATATATATAATTTTTTTTAGAATACCAGTTCCTTGACACGCCAAAGTGTCAAATCCATTCATTTGACACGATACTATATCAGTAATTTATAGAATGATACAATGTGATTGATTGAACAAAATTATTAATAAAACTCATAGGTTGTCATTTGAATGTCAAAATGAAAAACCTTATCAAAGTATTATTACTTTTTTTTATTCATGTAGACATATCATATGAAATTTTTTCCTATTTTTTCTTTTCTTGTAACTTTTCTATTTTAATTGAAATAATTACTATGGGTTTAAAATATGTTGACTTTATATGAAATTTTAAAACCGGTGTATTTTGAAAATTAATAGAAAACCAATAAAAATATAATAAAGAATTTAGACACATACTTGTGAAGTCTTGGGAGAGTGAATGATAGAGGTGATAAAATCAATGGAACTACTTTGGTGATAGAGAAAAAGTAGTAATTTAAAAAAAAAATTGTTACTAAAGTTCACATATTTTAAAAATAATTTTTTAAAATGTTTTTAGTGTTAACCTTTAATAATGTATTAGTTTAGAGTGACATTAATATGGTTCATTTTAAGTTAATAGGATTGTTATATGTACTCACATTAAATAAAAGGTTTTATTTATTTTTATAATATTGTGACAGGTGTTAAGTAACGGAAAATACAAGAGTGTGGAACATAGAAGCTTGGTGAATAAGGAACGAACGCGGATGTCATGGGCTGTGTTTGTTGTGCCTCCACATGAGACAGTGATAGGACCCATTCCTTCTCTCACAAATTATCAGAATCCACCCAAGTTTTCAACAAAAACCTTCGCTCAGTATCGCTATCGTAAGTTCAATAAGCTTCCCCAGTAACAATTCTAAACCATCTGTCAACAACCACTCAATCACACAATCTCAATTCACAAAAGTTTATCCAAGAATTATCACACAATTTCAAAATAACAAAACTCTATGTAAGAAAACTTTAAAAAATGAATAAGAAAAAAAGTAAAGAAATTTAAAGATTTGAGAAGAAATTTAGTGGCTTTTCACTGGTACGATTCAAACCAAAGAAATAAAAAAAAATCAGTACAAATTGGAGATTATACTAATTACAAAAATAACCGTTTCGGATACGAGGTCGAGTCACTTCAAACTCTTACACAATTTTTCCGATGAAACCGTCTGGTATCTCGCCCGAACCTTCGTCTTTACTTTACCGTCCGGAGGTGTACCTACCAAATGTTCTCGGATGCTAAAGTCGGTGAATTGTCTGTGCAGTAGCTCAATGCAATAGTAATAAATGCACAGTAAATGCGATCACCTACTTCTTACATTTGACTTGTATTTATAGTTTTCGACATGGGTTTGAGATTAGTGAAATCTTAATCACAACCCAATCTCAGCCCAATACCGCTAATCACTAATTACCTTAATTTGTGTAGTAAGTTGGACGTCTTAAATATAGTCGTCCGTTATACGCTTTGTCTTAATCCAATTGCTTTAGCGCGCACCTGTTTGCGTGGGACGTTCGGTCTGTCTTGACACCAAAGTGTTTCTGTGTGATTGTATGATTATGATAGTGTGCACGTCCTTGACTTGAGTCGAGTGTGTCTGCCTTATAGGGTAATGTCATGGCCGGTCAGCCCTCCCAATACAATAACAAATCAAATTTCTTTAAACGAAGAGATGACTTGTAATTTTTATTGGGTTTTCTTTATTGTGATACAATGGAAAAATTTAACTTCAATAGGTTATGACCAACCTAAGAGAACATGACATATTTGAATTCTTAACCATTTTTTTCTAAAATGTGAGTTGGGTTTTATCACAATGGGATATACTTGTCTTCATTTATCTTAAGACATTTTCCTTGACTCTAGCTACACTTTGAGTAAGTCATATACAAATCATGATACTATATTCAACTCAAAACTCGAAAACATAGTTGTCACAATCAGGATCGCAACGGGGATGGCAGACCTTTTAAAAAATAAACGATTTTGTTTTGAAAATAGAGTTTGAGAGTCATCGCCATAGTTTATTTTGGAAAACTACAAAAAAAAATCATAAAATAAGACATGGTCTGTAAAAAGGAGTTTAAGTTCGAGAGTCAGTTACACGTAGGAAAGGGATTAACACCCACTATGCTTGGCCAAAGATAGTACTTATAATTAAACGTACAAATTTGATGTGGTTTTCAAAATGATTATTTTCCCTAAAAGTAACAATATAAGATAACATAAAGGAAACATTTTTTTTTTATTTTTAGGAAACCCAATAAGGATTGACCTTGCTTCTATGTATTCTCATGTGAGAAATCAGGGGTACGTAGTTCTTTTTTAAACTTCTTCATTGAATATAATTTTTTTAGAAAATGATTTGGATTATAGGGAAGTGAACCTAACAAGGATTAACCTTGCTTCTACATATCTCCACTCATGACAAAGAACCAATGATCACATAGTTCTGGCTTGGATTGATTATATGAGAATGTTGACGATTTTTAGCTTTTTGGAGATTTTTAATTTTTTTGATATTTTTTATATGATTGAGGAAAAAAAGAAAGTATTAAGTATTAGGCTAATGCAGACGATCACACAAGTACTTATGCAATTATTTAACTTTTTGAAAAGGATTAAGGGTATTAAGTACTAGTTGATGTGAACGATCGCATGAGTACTCATACCATAAATTATTAAAAGGTGTCAACACCCAATTTCGTCCGGATTGACTAAATAACGACTCTCTTTTTATTCTGCCTTATTTCTATTTTCCTTATTTTTATTTTTATTTTTATTTTATTTGTTATGTTATTTTATTTCTTTAGTTCACTTTATTATATTTTATTATTTTATCCTTTTTGTCTTTCTTGGTTATTTTATTTTATTTTACTATTATTAAGTTATTTTACTTCATTTTATCTTCTTAATTTTATTTTACTATATATCATTTCATTTTATATTATCAGGGGTTTTTGATCCTTTTTGGGCATCCGTAACCACCCCTATGCTCTACACACATCCGTAACCACCCCTATGCTCTACACACACCCGTAACCACCCCAACCTTCATCATCATTCCCTCATTTTTTCCTAGCCTCTGCCCACTCCAACCTTTGTCTCACCAACGGCCATCACCATCTTCATCCCCTTCATCTTTCATTTTCATCTCCAACACTTAATACCCGTAATCATCTCCAATACCTGTCATCATCTCCATCCCCTGCTACAACTCCCATTCACCATCACGGGCACACACAAAATTTCTATTCCTCCATTCACTCAACAGAACCTTATTCTCCCATCCAGCTTCGACTTTATCTTTCAAAATAAAAAACACACGCAAAAAGCCATCTTCATTTTTTCTCACACACACAAATTGATTCCTCTTTCACTGAAACAGAGAAACACCTTCTTCATCATTTTCCATTCTTCCCCCATCTTGTACCTGAAAAAACAGAAAAGAACTCACTCGGTTCCTAACCTCAACCATGTTTCCTCATCAAATAAATTCATTCCAGCACCCAAAACAGAAAATGGATATCAGAGGGGTACTGGGAATAATCGTCGGCTGCAAGTTCTAAGTTCCAATGAAGGGGTAACTGTCGGAGTTCGGTTGGTGGCAGGGTTGTGTGAAAAATGAAGGGGAAGGGGATTTCCCCATTGCAGGCGAGACGAGAAAGAGGACGAGAGAGAGGCGCCGCGGTTGGAGACGGTTCCGGTGGCGCTTGGGGTTGGCCGAGCCAAGACTGGAAGAGGGGTGGCGCGGTGGGGGTGGTGTGGTTTCGGTGGCGCAGTGGCTGTTTCGGAGGGAGGAAGCGGTGTTCGGCGATGAATGGGAGCGCTTTTCCCTCACGCGCGAAGAGAAGAAGAAGAAGGGGAACGTGTGTGTGTAGTGGCGGGATGGCTCCGGTGGCGTCTGTCGTCGTTGACGACGCCGCGAACCGCGGCTAGCGGTGGCCGGTTTGTGGGGAGGCTGAGTCATGGCGTGGGTGGCAGAGATGAGCGTCTCTGTTTTCTTCCTTCGAGGAGATGACCCTGGGTCTCAGGCTGCCTACACAATGAAATGAAAGTTGGAGGAACCCCTAATGGGTTTCGATTAGGGTTAAGAGGCCTTGGGCTGGTGCGGTTTGCTTCCCATCTCTTCCTGCCACACTGCAGTTCCATTCCACCCCTTTTTCATTTGGTCGAAGCCCAGTTTGTTTCTGCAAACAAAAATAAAAAACAAGAATTGGGCTTGAGCACATATTTCAGGATGCACCTCCAACTTTACTGCTGCACCCCTACTTGGGACCTGGATAAGTAAATCTCGAGTTGCACTCCTGGTTTTTTATCTCTGCACCCCTTATCTTATTGGGTTGTTCTCTGCTTTATTTTTATGCTTTGTTCTTTATTTTTATTATATTTGTTTGGTTATTAGTTTTTACTGATGGTAACCCCTTGTATGATAACCCACTCCTAGTTCTTGTCTTTTATTTTCATTTTAGTTATTTGCTGCATTTAAACACGAAATGACGGATAATAAAAATAATAATAAAAAATTACAAAAATGTTTTAAAGGGTTTAAGCAAAAGGTGACCGCTCGCGTCGTCCTTGTCTAAAACCTTTTTTCTTCTTTCTTAAATAAAATTTCAAAAATATGTTTAAAGGTTTAAGCACACGTGTGAACGCTCGGTCGCCTTGTGCTAAAACCTTCTTATTCTTCCTTAAATAAATTTACAAAAAAAGATACGTTTTGAAGGATTAAGCACACGTGTGACCGCTCGCGTCGTCCTGTGCTAAAAAACCTTTTCTTCTTTTAAATAAAATTTCAAAAATATGTTTTAAAGGTTAACACTCGTGTGATCGCTAGCAGTCGTGCATCTACGTGTTCAAAACCTTTCTCTCTTATTTATGTAATATTAAACGAGGGTATGAGTGCTCGTGCGATCGCGCATCAGCCTAGCACTCAATACTCTTAAGTTTTCCATACAATAAGTAGATAAACGCGGATTATAACGTATCTCGTGTGATCGTTCGCATCGCCTAGTGCTTAATATCAGTTTATTCTCTTTTAAAAAATGATAAAAATTTTTAAATATCATTCTAAAGGTATGAGTACTCGTGTGACCGTCCGCGTCGGCCTAGTATTCATTACTTTCTTTTTTCTCGAAAATATCAAAAATTATATAAAATCTTAAAAAATTAAAGAAAACATCTGCTTTTTCAAATAGCAAACAATCTCTCAGCCAGAACTACGTGATCCTTGATTCTCCATCAAAAAGGAGATAGTAGGAGCAAGGCCAGTCCTTGTCAGTTCATTCCCAAAAATACAAAATCATTTCCAAACAAATTCTCAAACAATTTCTTAATCAAAATTTTCAAATAGTTTCCAAAAGAACTACGTAACCCTGATTTCCTCATTTTGAATGAGAATACGTAGGACAAGGTCAATCCTGTCGGGCCCAAAAACTAAAAAATATTATTTTGTTTATTTGAATTTTGTTTTAGGGATAGTTAAACATTTTTGAAAACCACATCAAATTCGCGATTTAGTTAAAGGTACTTCTCTTAGGGCAGGCGTTGTAGGGTGCTAATACCTTCCCTACACGTAACCGACTCCCGAACCCAGAATCTGGTTTTTTTTTTTACGGACTGGTCTTATCATTTTATGGTTTTTCCGTAGTTTTCCAAAATAACTATGGTGGCGACTCCAAATCTCTTTTCAAAAACCCGTTTCTTTTTGGATAGTGTAAAGTAGAGATTACGCGGTGGGGTTTTATTGGACAGATGGCGACTTCACATGAGGGATTGTTTTAGAGAGAGTCAGCCATTAAAACTATATGTGCGAATCAATGTGGTTTTTCTTTATGTTTTTCTTCCTTTTTCTTT